TCTAACCCATCAAACTACCGTCCCATAGCCCTTACAAACTGTTTCTGTAAACTTATGGAAAAACTTATTAACAAACGTCTAACGTGGTTTCTCGAAACCTCAAACTCCTTATCCAATTTTCAATGCGGTTTTCGCAAAAGAAGTAGACAGACTCCCCACCACTCCCTGCAGGTACCATCACAGTTCTAGTAGCACCATATAGTATCAAATATTCTCTTGGCAGGAATCGATGTTTGTTAGAGAGATATTGTAAGGTACCAATTGTAGCTCCTACTACTTTTACCCTTTCTTTGTTATGTATGTATGTTTCCCTTTCCCCTGTTCCAGATTACCGTTATTGAGTCGATATTCACAAAGAAGAGAATAATCATTTGAAGAAGACAGGCTCGCAGCGACGCCCTGCAGGTACCTTCACATTTAGTAGCACCGCACAGTAGATCAATATCTCTCAAATCTTCTCTCAGCAGGACTTGGCGCTTGCTAGATGGGTGTTGAAGAACACCAGAGGTAGCTTCTACTACTCTTCTTCCCTTTCTGTTTCCCTTTTCGCCACTCTAAATGACCCTTATTGAGTCGATGTTCACAAACAAAGAGAACAATAATCGTTTGAAGTAAACAGACTCTCCACCACTCCCTGCAGGTACCATCGCAGAAGTACCATGTTTTCAGACAGTAGACCAATATCTCTGAAATCTTCTCTCAGCGGGACTCGACGTTTGCTCGACTCTCGTGAGACGCCGGGTATGGTTAGCGGTACGCACACTCACGCACGCGCACTCTTGGTCTGGTCTCCTACTTCGCGCTGGCACGAGCGCGAAACGGATCCCGCTGAAACATGGGTGAGCACGCGGGCAGGAACCCGAGCCGGCCTATTTGTCGCCCCCCGAGAGTTACATTTGTTGGGGTACCACCCCCCTCTCAATCATCAGGTTGAGAACACAAGGTGTTTTCCTCGCAGCTCCCTACCACCGCCACCATTCTAACCAGACTACCATTCCACACTTCGTGTTGATCATTCTTCTTCTTCTTCTCTTTCTTTTCCGGGAAGGGGACGTGAACCGGTACAGTGATGTACGCTAACTGTCTTGTTACCCAATTTATTTCTTTTCGGGACTCCGACGGGAAATGTGAGTGGGTGCTGTGGTGTGGCCTTACATTCTAGTTGACTTAGTTTCCGTGTGCGAAGGACTGTGAAAGTTGTGATGTTGCACTGAAAAAATGGTGCTTTTTGACTGTTCAGAATTTATGATGATCAATACAAACATTCTGATTTCGGTTTTAACTTTCTAAAATATTGGATTACCGCTTTGGAAAAGTTTGATGTTCAAGAGTGAAGAAATACTTTTTTTTAAAAAGAGAAACCTTACAAGAGGTTTTCTGCAATATTTGGATAACTCCAGGATAAGGGATTAAGAAGAACACTCTGAGGTAAGACCTAATATATTCATTAGTTGTTGTCTCAAAAGCATTTAGTCCTTTCGAGGCAAGCATGGTCTTTTGTTTGTTTGTTT